AGATGTTTTGAGAGAGAAGACTAGAAGACATCTTATCACAAACATCAGAAGAGACTTCATCATTTTTGGTAATTTTTTCACACAAAGAAAACTAGAACATGCTGTGATTACATGAAAAAAAAAAAAGAAGAAACAAAGGAAAACAACAGGAGACGACTCTTGACAGTCCCGTGGCAAGGCACTTGTTGATGAGATAATATCCAGAAATGTATACAAAATATCTGGTACCAGTCCTCCTCGTTTATCTGCTGTTAATTCTGGCGGAAAGTTCTGGTTGTTCTATCTTTTCTGTATTTTGGTCATGTTCCCTAATTTACATTTTGCTTGCACATCAGATCTGATATACTTTATACAGAATGTTTCTTCCTCGCCTTTCAGGCAGATATACTCCTTCGTAGAAAACACCCCTAATAAGTCGCATGCTTAATATTGAGTCAAGAGATTATATTAAAGCACTTGGGACATTCCCAATGAAGCTCCGTCCACATCTTCATCGGCAAGAGCAGTTCAAATTACCATATCACCAGTAACAGTTTGATTGTCCGTCTCATCCCTCCCTTGAGTACTGAGCGTCGTGCAAAATCAATGGACTGCTGCACTATTCTTTTCAGACAGTAATGATCTATGTGTGCCTCGGCACCGTTTACTCGCTTCCAGAGGGTCCTTATATCATCTAGCTTGGCATGCATCAATTTAAAACCAAGTGGTGCAGAGTCAGGCAGTCTACCTGTTCATTTCCAAACACACTAGCATAACTTGGTAAAATATCCAAAACATGCTGACTACTCGAGAACTCAGAAGCAAAGCTTGTAATTCTGCATAGAGCCTACCATTGTTAGCACCTTTCCGCCTTTTCAGACGATAGTGTTATATTGCGCTACGAGGAGACATGAAACTCACAGCCCATGGCGATGGTGAGTGTGACTAGCAAGACTCGCCCACGTTAAGAAAAGCCTTCTACAATTATAGCATAGAATGTCAGTACCATTATTGCCACCATTTGTATTTAGTGTTTCTTCTCAGACGCTCAGCTCTCATTCTATCTGCAAACATTTCTTCCTTAATTCTCATTCCCTTCCTGATGTGCTCCTTCTTGCAATAGGGCCCATAACAGTTGCTTCCATGAGTCCCCCTCAGTTCATGTTTCATTCATACATCTTTATACGAGGGTAAGTCATTAAATAAGTCACAAATTGTTTAAAAAAAGAATAAAGATTATAATAATTTGAAAACCATTTATTTTCACACACGCACTGTCCATTTATTTTTCAGCAGAATTTCCACCACCAACATTGATGTACTCCTTACATCGTTTTATTAGACCTCCCCAAACCTGCTGTAGACAACTGAGTACTCTGTTTTCTAGGCCACAATTTCACTTCACTTTAGGAGCAAGTGAACAATGCAGAGGCACGAATATGTCATTACGGTCTGAAGAGAACGGTACAATTGTGAGTGACCAGGGACCTGGTCTGCCTGCTCATTTTCCAACACACCTGATTAAGTCAGAAAAAAATTTCAAAAGGAAATGAACTGGTAGGAACCTCTGAGGCGATGCTTCGCTGATCCTCCTTCTTTTAGGCAGAGTCGGGGACATGCATTAGTTTCTCGACTGTCAATACTTTGCTCTGTAGTTTTCTCTTGATATATTTTTATAAAATAGATGCTGTTTATATTATTATTATCCATGTGTTTGCGCTTTTTATACAAATCGTTGTCCTCACCTGCATCTGTTGCCTCCTATTACCTCACACAAGTCAATCTTTATTGCACCTTGTCAGCTGATACACCATGTTTAGACTACATAGAACATCAAAGAATGAAATGGTTTGGACATCTAACCAGGATGAAAAATGACCAAATAACATCACAAATTTTCAACCAAAGAAGCTCAGGATATAAGGCAAGAGGAAGACCAAGGAAACGGTGGATTGACGGGGTCTCCGAAACCTGCCAAAAGCATGGCCTCAGAACATCAGATGCTGCCCGCCTTGCTTATGACAGGAACTTGCATCTCCCCACAACGCTTTGCGGCATACGTGGAAGGAAAAAGTAAAAGTAAAGTAAGTAAGTCAGCTGATGCGCTCCTAACTTGCGTGGTCATAGAGCCAGGAAAATTCTCGCGGCGCTGAATGTAATGACATACGCCAGCATTGAACAACGCCTCTTTTTCCTTCTCTATTAAGGACTCGTATTAGGTTTAGTTGTGTTGCATGACATGGAGGTGTGTCGGCACACGAACTGAAACTTGCTGCAGGAGATCACAGCTTGTGAAGAGGCATGATCTCCCATGCCAGTCGGCAAGGCACCTGATGATGATGATGATTAGGTTTAGACTACGGTCTGGGCCTCATCGCTGTCAACAGAACCCAGCTAGAAAGTATAGACCGGGTACACAATGAGGCCATGAGACTCATATTCAACTTTTTTAAAAAAAGACACCTTGTGCCACGCTATATGGTTGGTCCTGGGTTTACCGACACCGACCACCAGACATAACATTGCACAGGAGAAGTCATGCATGAGGATATCAGCAGACATTACCCACCCACTGCACAACGCTATCAAAGTTATTAACGGGTTGCGTCTCAAACAAAAATAAAAAAAGGTTCCTCCTGTATGGCCGAGGCAGAAAATTTAATCTAGCAAGTATGTGACCTACACGAGATCAGTCATGGAAAATAATTTAAGGATACCCAATAAGACATGCGTGACCCGTCGTAGGCTGTCATAACACTGGGTAGGTACTGCAGGAATCAGGTACCTGCCACCGTCGACGCCGAGATAAGGGCACTGACTCGTCAGCATTCAAGACCAGGAGATATCGTCATTTACACAGCAGATATATCCGTGGAGCGCTGGTCAGAATCAGCATGGGCATACGCAGCAAAAAGAATGGGGGAAATAAAATAAAAAGAGGATAGGGGCGCCTACTAGCCAACCAGATCAGTCATCACCAAAAGAGACAACTGCAGCTTCCAGAGCACTCGCATGGGTAGCAGAACAAACGACCACAACCGCGGTAATCGTTTCTCACTCAATGGACATGCTTCAGGTAGTCTACGCTCCGAATGGTTAGAAATTATTAGAAAGTCGCAGTTAATCTCTGTCATCTGGATCTACACACCTGGGCTTGTATGTATCAAAGCCAATGAAAGAGCTGACCAGCTGGCAAGTAATGCGCCAATGCCAACGGGAAGAATTGTGGACAGACCTGAAATCACCAATGTTGTACAGACTATGTACAAGAATCAATCGCTGCGCTAACACGATTACGTGACCTAAAATCTAAGCTTGTTGAAGCACGTCTTTGTTGTCTTCGAGGTCAAAACAGGAGATACACCAAACAGTAGATCTTTTTTTGGAACAGCCAGTATAGGTGCCCTGGAGTGGTTGCTGCATCAGAGGACTGAGCAGGCTTGGCAATGCCCAGTGTGTAAAGACTTGATTGTAATAAAATAACAATAATTTGTGTGAGTTATCTCCACATGATTCACATGACCGATCTAGTGCAGTATCCCAGCTGTCAACAGCAAAGGACCATTTTCCACACCTACATAGGGCTAGACCGATAACCTATAGACCAATCGGCCCTTGATGGGTGATGTGGTCAGCTTCAAGCCGGCCGCTTTTACTTCCCAGGACTGTACATGATACCCTGTGTCAACCTAGCAACCAAGGTCAACTTTCAAACAATGTGCAGCTCCGTCCGGCCCAGAACCCCGGACCTTTTGATCCACACGCGAGCATCTAGCCGCTAGACCACTGTCCACCCGTCCATTTGTGAACACAAAAAAACAAAAATCGACCAAGTTCAACCTTCGGCGAGCAGTATCGGCTATATTTTGGTCTGGTGTCTTTGTGCCTAATGTGTTGGCTAAGAAGTGGTAATTACACCAAAACGAGTGACTTGGATAGGTTCTCTAGTACCTGGTGATGGCTGCTGGAGAGGGGGCTAGTATACACACACACACACACACACAGAGATATGCATCTACGAACAGGCACCATTGCGGCCCCCGACTGACAGTAGCTCACTGTTTGTTTTTTCTTCTCAGTCCACGATATTCTCAGTATTGTTTTAACAACCACCCCCCCCCTTTTTTTTTTACCCTTCAATTCCACCCACCTCTCCCCCCCCCACCCACCTTTCCCTTTTTTTCCTCCCCCTTCTTCCACCCCTTTCCCTTTCCCTTCCCCTCCCCCCCCCCCCCCCCCAACAACAATTTGTCCTGGTGAGATAAAATACCGATGCAATGAATTCAATCTGCTTATCTGTGAACAAACATTAATCAGTGTTAATATTTATTCATCTGTTTATTGCTAATGTCAGTTATTATAAGTTCACTTTACTCAGACTTACAACTAGCATAATTAGTCGACATTTACAGCTCAGGTTTTTTTTTTTTTTTGGGGGGGGGGGGGGTGGGGCATTGACTGTCACTCGCAGAAGTAGAAAAGAAACTTTGTTGTGACTGCTGAATCCGAAGACTAAGCACGCACGGAAATGCCCAGTGTGCAGTGACATCGTTTGTGATAACATATCAGACAAGTCAATGTAAGAATACTAGCCAGCACAAAAGATATTGTGTACATTAACAGGTACAGGCACATCCTAATCTAGATGTGTTCCTCCAAACAACGACAAGGTTCTATAAACGGAGATGTGTCCGTGTGTATCTGCGCTCGGACAATTTAAAAGCAATTAGAAAGTCTTTATGTAAAAGTATAGAAAATAGTTACAACAATGGACAGAGTAAACTTCTTGGGAATCAACGCAAAAAAAGTGTGTGTCCAACCAGAAGTTGCGTATGCACAGGGGGCTGAAGCAAGTAGTAGACAGGTACTTGCAGCTCTTGTATAAACAGCTCTAGTGGATACACATGGGCAGCTCTGGTTTTATCACAGACATGGACAGCTCTAGTGTCCGGATACATTTGCCCTGCTATGAAAAGTATACAATTGTGATGTTTAAAAAAAAAAAAAAACAGTTTTGGTTGTTACAAGTAAGGTATTGGCGTTTTGGTGGTTCTGTGTTTGAAAGGTTTAAACTCTATATCATCATAGTGAAAAGCGTGTGGTCCCACCCATCGCAACGATTCAGGTCGTCGAAGCAGGTCATGCGAGGGCAGCAGCAGAACTGCTACCCTCATCCCGTACCTGACCTCTTCTGTGGTGATTGGTTCTGCTGTATCAGAATCCACAACGCAGATAAGATCGGGAACACTGCCCAAGCATCCCACTCGCGATCCATTTTTGAACAGTATAATAACCAAATTTTCGTTCTGAAAGTCGATACGAAGGTCTTGTCCCAACCAATCATCAACGCCTTCTAGTATCAAATAGCCTCTATTGAAACCGCCACTGGTTTCCCGCGCTACGTCAGTAACTTTTCCGGTTATAATGTGTCGACCGTCCTCTTGTCGAATTATAGCCTCAATGACAGATTCCTTCTGAAGTCTGGCACGAAGAATGGCATCCCCTAGCCTCCATGCACTGCTAACTGTGTGCAAAGCGGTCTTGTTTAATACTTCATCTTTCTTCAGCGGAATGGCTAGTCCCGCAGAGCATCCATTCTCTATGGATACATCCCTAAGGAAGTTCTCTAGCAGTTTCCCATTTGGCGCATACAGAAGTGTGGTCCTTATATCGCAATTTCCGCTGCCAACAATGGCTGCCGGGTATGGTGGCTTGTCGAACATGTAGGGTATAAACATCTGAACCTCTGGAAAAGCTCTGCTCATCCCGTCTCCATCAACTACAGGAAGATCTAGATTGGCTGCAATCAGAAACGGCTCTATCGCATTCAGTCCTCCAATTTCTGCCGACATTAGCGCTATAATCTCATTTCCAGAAGTGGCTTGATCTTTAGGCTGGTAATTCTTAACAAACTGACAGCCAGCTTCGTTAGTTTCTACAGTTGCCCCGTCTGTGTTGCGAAGACTGGCCTCGTGGAACCCTCCAACTTCATAAGCATCCTTCAGACATTGAAGAGCAACAGTGGTCTCTTTCGACGACACCCCTTGCTCGTACATTATCAGCGGAGCCCCAATGAAAGCAGACACTATCACTATACTTTTATCGGGATCAACATCCTGAAGTAATCTTTCCGGAGTGATGACTCTGATTTTCTTACCCTCTCCGATAGCTTTTAGTGCTCGTATTCTGCCCATCTGTGGATTGCCACCGCCTCCAGTTCCGTAGATCCCGGAACCAACCACAATGCATTCAATGTCCCATTCGGACAGTATCCACTCGCCCGTGACTGGGTCCACAAACGGGTTCTGTGGTCGCTGTCTGTAGTCTTTGTCGAAGTCTATGTCAGAATATTTGTCAATTCTCTGTCCAGTTGAGGAGAAAGTTTGTTTTGTTAACACTAAGTTTTGCTGTTCAAAAATGGAATTACAATGCGGCAATGATGACCATGGCGACAAACTCTCTAACTTTGATTCCCAGCCAACGAGATCCCCCACAACTTTCACCTTGATCTGCACTGCACTTCCGGGCACGTAAGCCACAACCGAATCTTGTTTCTCTAGAATTTCGAGGCTGTTTGTGTCAGCACCTTGTCTGACAGCCATGTCCTTGACCCGACTGCAGACCTTCTCTATGGCTTCATCTCGAGCCTTTATCAGGAACGGTTTCCTAGCTTCGTTAATAGCCAAGTCTTTTTTCTTCCCATCAGGATCGTCAGTCACAGATCGTACAGCTTCTTGAACTCTTCTGTCCATCTCTGCAACGTCTACAGTTTTTAGAAGGTTTACCACAGTGTTTATAACCGCCGCGACTTTGCTCAAAGCTGCTCCGATAGCATTCGCTACTCCGAAATGTTGCGGCACAATTATTTTTGTGGTTCCGTAGAGTTTTCTGGTGCGATCAATCAATACGGATCCTCCTCCAACGATAATGACTGGAAGTTCCTCTTTACTAAGCTTGATCTTATCAATAATGTCTTCCAACATTAAGTGTATTTTATCGACAGCTTTCATCACCAATTCACTGTTTAAGTCTTTCACTCTTTCGGAAGATCCAAGATGGCACAATCCCGAAGCTACAGCCACGTCTGTCGCAGTTAACTGTCTGTCATCAAGGTCATGGCCATCGCTGAAAACAAATGCTTCTTGCACTAAATTAAGTCCGGCGCTCAAGGGCCCTACTGTGACTTTCTCAAGGGCACCACTCTTTCCGTTGTACTGTTTAATATAAGACCCACCTCCTAACCCGATGCTGACTACATCTGGCATTCGGAAGTTAGTCCGAACTCCCGCCACCTTGACGTGAGTGGACGCTTCTCTAGGAAACCCGTTCTTTAGAATGCCAACATCAGTGGTTGTGCCTCCAATGTCCACGACTATAGCATCTGTCAGTTCCGACAGAAAGGCGGCGCCTCGCATGCTGTTAGTTGGTCCTGACGCAAAGGTCAGCACCGGCTGCTCCAATACATCCTTGCTACTGATAATTGTTCCGTCGTTTTGTGTCAGATAGAAAGGACAGCAAATTCCGATCTCACTGAGTGCCTTCTGGAACCCGCTTACGGTTTTCTTGCATAACGGCTTTAGGCTTTCATTTAAAATTGTAGCATTTTCTCGCTCCAGAAGTCCAATGTGGCCAATCTCATGAGATAAGGAAACCGTGGCTTTGGGATATACTTCTTTGGTGATTTCCCGGGCACGAATCTCTTGATCACTCCTGACCGGCGAAAAGATGCCCACATAGGCAATGTTTGTAATACCGTCTTTCTGAATCTCTCGAAGGACATTCTTGAGCTGTTCAGTATCCAATTTCTCCCGTTCCTGGCCATCGAATCGATAGCCGCCATGAATGAGGTAAACGGGACCACGGATGACGTCTGCCAGTTCTGTGGGGAAGTCGCAGAACGGAGGTAGCTCTTCGGAAACTGGCCCACAAATTCTCACGACTGCCACTTTGGCCAGGTCCTTTTTCTGAACCACGGCGTTGACGAAATGAGTGGTTCCTGTGGAAATAAAACCAGTATCATATGAATTTGCATCATAAAAAACGTAAAAAATAATGTGCTTTAATTTCAATACAGTGAAATGCTGTATAGATGTCAATAGTAAAAACACTGAAATGGAGGATATAAACGTTGACTTTTTCTTCTTCTTCTTCTTCTTCTTCTTCTTCTTCTTCTTCTTCTTCGTGTTTGCCGGCTATAAAGTCAGGCTGAAAGTTCTGGTTGTTCGTCCATTTCTGGACATTAGTCTTGTCCAGAACGCAAGGGTTGTGTGCACATCTATTTTACAGATCTATCTCATTTGTATGCAATCTGTTGTTTCACTGCCTCTCAGGTAGATGCAGTCTAACTTTGAAAACCCACTAATTAGTCTACTCTTACGACATGCTTATACGGGTGGCAATGGATGTGTTCTTCTTTTCCCCCACAATGGGGTCCCGGAACCCATACGGGGAATCGACTTACTAAAAATAAAACATAATTACACACTGTACAAATTCCAGTTATTATCCAGAACAGTTAAAGGGCATATTAGGCTTGTACCAGTCCTTTACCAACGGCTGTACACTGGCCTTAGCATGTGCTGACTGATCTGACTTAATAATTTAACGCTCAGTAGTTTTTTCCACGTGATGAGAGCGACGTTCTGCAAAGGACCGGCAATATGATGGTGTTGAGTTTGGCGTTGTTTTCAGTGCTCATGCAAGTGTCAAAGAAAAGGCAAAGCTGTCTGATGCCTAATCACCTGCAACCCGGTATGTTGGAAGTATAAAACCTAATGCAGAACCCATGGGACATAGAGACTGGCTATAGCGGCATAATGCTGGTATCGATACAACCCAGGGCAGACCAATGGAGATCAGAGAACAGCGCAAAATATAAACAGTCTGACAATTAAAAAACGAGACTGATTTTATTATGGCCAAAATCCATGAAGCCATTTCATCCATGAAACCAAGCATGACATCCAAACAGGCGCCATTCACCTATGATCTGGCAAAATTGTAACGCCGTCCAGTCCACTGATGCATAAGTAATCCGCCATTTTGTTTAGCTAGTGAAAGTTGTGACGTATGTAGCATGGAGCTAATAGAGAAATTAATTCGGTTTGAAACTCGGAAATGTGTTTTTAAGACAGACGAAATGATGGAATAATTTTATGAGGATCAGTGTTTATCAAATTCAACATTGTATTCATCTGCCGTCATCCTCACAGTCAAACATCGATCTTCACGTATCTGTTCTCAGATTGGGAAATCAGTTTATGAAGTTTAACGTTTTAAAAGCACTTTTCATAGCCTGAAACGGAGTTATTATTTAGTCTTTGCTCCATGCCGTACAGTAATGACGCAACTTCCGCAACATGGTGGCCGTGAAATTTTGTCCAATTCTAGTTGAATCGTGCCTGGATGTTTCATTGATGCGGCTTTTAATGTATATGCATTGAAAGTGTTAACATACATTGGGATCCCAACATCATCATTATAAGGTGCCTTACCAGATGGCGTTAGGGCGTAGACGTTCCTGTCGTTCTATGCGTCTCAGATATTGGTGTTCTGGACCAGTTCTCTTAACACACTCCACTCATCCTCCGCCACCTTTAGCATCGCTAACCATCTGGAATCATTGTTACTACTCACATTCTACCACTTGATTTTCCAGACGATGTTGTCCAGTGCCTCGCCCCTCACCACAAGATCGGAGAACTCGATTTTTTCTTTCTTATTTATTGGTAATAAAATGCTTTGAATTATTGGTTGTTGTTTGTTTCGGGGCAATCGTTGTTAGCTGCTCTGAAGGTTCAAGTTAACACTTACTTTAGAAACCACATCTCTGCGACTTCCATGCTCTTGTCAGTTTATTTGTTCACATTCAAAAATTCACAGCAAACTTTGGAACATGTTCAAAATAACATTTCAGTAACTATTTGACAAACAGTAACATTGACGTTATCTAACATCAACCTCCAAATGGTGGAATTCTCGTGTAGACATTATTAGAACAACAGCGAGTGAGAAGAACCTCTTATAAAAGAGCATTGAAGTACACAATTATAGCTATCTTCTTCTTCCTCCTCCACCTTCTTATCTTCCGCTAGTCTCGTTGAAGTGTTTGGCGGTGGGGAGTATTTTCAGTGTACTCTTTTTAATTCCTTGCATAAATTGATCTTCGTCTCTTCAAGGCTGCGGCTGCTGCTGTCGTTTACATTTTGCGCGGTTTAGAAACGTTGAAAATAATACTTAAGTAGAAGGAAAGCTAGTAAACAACCATAACAAGAATGAGGGAAACTTACCGATGTTTACTTGAATTGGAGATACGCTTTTGTCCTGGCTAGTTGCTTCAAGAAGACATCGCAGAACCGCCTTTTTCACGCCCGTGATGACGTCACTGGTGGTCAGCTCTTTGACGGCAGCGAGCACTTGGGGTACCTCCGACTGTCTGTGGATCAGCACGGCGTCCGTGTTGGTCCCGCCAATGTCCACACCAACAACCACGGGGATGACTTTGTCCGGCATGGAATTGTGTTAGTCTCTTAACATAGCCAGAGAGTGTAAACCAAATGTTAACAAATAAACGTGAACATTTAACTAAATAGCTTATTAACGACTCAGTAATTAAAGTAATTAACTTAGTAAGGCATGCACGTGAATATGAACAATATCAGAGCAATGATCACCACACTTTTCTTACCAACGCTGTGCTATGAGTGTCAAACATGGACACCATCTTCAGGAGACAAGGATAAGGACTCAATGCTCTCGAGATTATGGCAGCAATGGACATGGAACAAAGAATGCTGTTCACAATGTTCCAACGTGTGATCCTGTCAGTGATAGATTATAGACTTGGCATGCTTACCATATCAGACAGTCAGCTGATGAAACTTGAACGCATACAGAATGAAGCCATGCGGGTAATTCTGGGATATACAAGAGATACCCCGGTAGTATGTATGCGATATATACTTGAACTGCCTACTATTGCAGATAGGCTCAAAGTTCTGCAGGTAAAGTCATATCTCAGAGTAGCTTCAGACAAGAAGCACCTCCTGAATGAAGCCCTGTGTAGAGCTAAGGGTCACAGACTGAAAAGGGGAAGGTCTTGGATGGCGCAAGTTGAAGACACAACTGGAGCGAGGAGAGGAGTGGGTCTGGGTGTCCGAACAAGTTTCATACTTGTGTGGGGTTCTAATTACGTTAGATCGTGAGTGCAGAGACTGGCCAGCTGGTGTTGCAGAATCAGAACTTCAACAAATAATTCATGACAATTCCCGCCCAAGTGATTTGATTGTATATACAGATGGCTCTGTGTTGAGGGGCAGAAGAAGTGCATGGAAGTTCGTAGCAGAGTGGAAAGCATCACTTCAGAGGTCCCGGGTAGTTAGCATCCTTTTGATATTTTCTCCAGGTCATGCCGGTGTGTTGGAACATGAGCAGGCAGATAAATTAGCTGGCTCTGCACCACTTGGTGGTGAATTGATGTATGACAAGTTAGATATGGTGAGGGCCCTTTGGGAATGGGTAAACTGTAGGGAGGCGCAGTTAGATCATTACAAACTGAGAAGAATGGTGCTGCGATGAGTTACCAGGGGATCTGGCCGACGCTCAACACTCAGGGGAAGGATGAGACGGATATACAACTGACTGTTACTGGTACCATCAGAATTGGAATGCTTCGCTTGCTGCTGAAGACGGTAACTGAGCACTTATAGGAGTGTTCCGAGTGCTGTTATGTCGATTCTTAATTCAACTTTCCACATTCAGCAAACAAGAAAAAAGTCACGACAAATACAAAATGTTTTCAGTTGTAACTTGGAGAATTTTAAAGGATTCATACAATTTATGTAATTTTGCGACGGGGATATTATCGGTGGAACTGATATAGAGGACAAGGGCCGAGATTTGTTATGTCTGAAGGCCTACTGCCAGTCGGCAGGGCACGTGACGATGATGCTGATTGTGCAAATATTTTTTTTTTCTAACTACAAATTTAGCCACAACGATTATCCATTATGCATATATTTAAAAGGGGTATACGTTTTACAGTTGTGTGAGATTAGTGGAGTAATTTAATTCAGTATGAGCCGCGGGGCTTTAAGACCTCATCAAGTCCAAATATGGCCATGCGCTATCAGTATATTTAGAGATTATCAGTAGTCGAAGATGATGTGTCCATGCAAGTCAGGGCACGTTTGATGTGGGCTCGAACTAGAAGCATTGGTCGCTAAAAAATTGTTTTTCTTTGAAAGTGATTCAAATACACCACCACCAAACTAACAGAAAAGCATTCTAGCCAGCGCGGCACCTATGAGTTCGGTACTTAGTTCTTAGTTAAATATTTTAGAGTACGGGCAGATCTTGACCACTATGAGTCTTGAGTCGTGATGCACCACCAAGCATGCTTCTGGGCTCTTCTCCGAACTTCTACCCCGGCATTATGGCGGCCATAAAATATCCTTACGGGGCTCAGTTCTATTACAAATATGCCGGCTCCGTATAACGAAACGTTTGCTCTAACAGGGTCTCAGCGATATGTTACTTGCGGAACTGTTTCTGTGACTATGCCTCACCGCCGACAGTATCCCCCGCGCCGCCGATGGGGGCTAAACTAGATGGCTGGGACTCACGAGCAAAAGCCACCGCATCTCCTGCAACTTCCTCCAATTAATTTGCTCGTGAGTCCCAGGCACCTAGTTTAGCCTTCCATAGGCGCTGCGCGTAGCGGCACGGGGATACCCTCGTTGGTGAGTTTAATCGCGTTTTGCGCATGCTTGAAATTGTCAACGGTCGCTATTATCTATCGTCTGCAATGTTGCGTCTCTTGAAATTGTCAAGAAATCCTAGTTTTGCCGTGATTTGTTCCTTGGCAGAGAGTCCGCATTTTACATATGCCTGAGCCCCGTAAGGATATTTTATGGCTGCCATAATGCCGGGGTAGAAGTTCGGAGGAGAGCCTGTTTCTGTATTCATGCACTGAAAGCTTCCCATTGTGGTAGTTATTCTGTCGAAAGTTTACAGCCTCGTAGAAGTAGTCCTGTGTTTTTATATACGGCAGCATATGACTGATGTCTTCAATGTCATGCCGACCGCCTTTACTTTCGGAAACATTCCCTGGTATCAATTTTCAGGCTGGGTCGATATGGGAGCATGTCCAACTCTTTTATAATATGAAAATACGAACTAGTGACTTAATTTTTAAATGGTCACAAATTGGGCACGCAGGCCAGTCTTATTTTCGGCCCATTGCGGACAAACCCGCTAGAAGATGCTATACTATCGCCCGTTTTCGTTTGAATAACATTTAAAATACAATTAAGGACCAGCTCTCACCTGACATCAACTGCTGGTTTAGAAAACATATACAATGGCTTAACTAGGCGGCCAGGTCAACAACAGAAACATACACGTACTGGTATTTCCCAACAAAGAAGATCACACTAGCAATGTTTGTACAGCCTAGTTAGTTGGCACAAACCAACAGTCTAAAGCGGTATCAGTAAAATGTGACCCGAAAGCAACGTGTGACCCCACGCCTGCCCTTTGTTAACTAGGCCACGTTTTCAGGGTAGTTAGGAAACGGAGGAGATAGCGTATAGTAATTTTAGATTCAGTTGCTTCAAATTTTTTTTTTAACACAGTCGGTTTAAAATATACTATATAATATATATATATATATATATATATATATATATATATATATATATATATATATATATATATATATATATATATATATATATATATATATATATATATATATATATATATATATATAGAGAGAGAGAGAGAGAGAGAGAGAGAGAGAGAGAGAGAGTCAAAAGATTACGCAGTAGTGTGAAAATAAAAAAGCTGTTTCGTGTCTTCTCAATGAAATAATAAATGATAACAAGGGGAAGGGAGAATTAAAGGGGGAAAGGTAATTAAAAATGACAACTACCAATAAAAGATATTTGAAAAGATAATTAGTAGCTTCACGGAAAGAAAATCATATTGCTGTTTAATTGTGTGTCATGGATTGTTAAATTGGGAGCCGTTGTCGTCTAGCGGCTAAACGCTTGCCTGCGGATCACAAGATCGTGGGTTCGGTTCCTGACAGAGACTCTTGGCTGAGACTATTTGGCTCTTTTCAAAAATGTTCTTAGCTCCCAGGTCGACACAGACTTGAGTGGGTACCAGGTATAGTCATGGGAAGTAAAAGCAGCCGGCTTGATGCTGATCATTTTAACTACCAAGTACGAGATATTGTTGTTTGCCACTAAAACAAGAAAACAGAAACTAATGGCAAAACAATCCTAGGTATTTAATTGAGGCGATGACAACGATCACTGTAACCATTTAAAAAAAGTTGGTGTTGGAAGAGGAAGGGAAATCAACCAGAGATCGAGTTTTTGTCAGTCGTTCACAAAGAGCCTGTTACAAGAATGAACGGTTCCAAAAGACGTTAGAACTAGTGTATAATGCGTACAACCGAAGGATCGACCATTGCTTCTTTCTTCGCGTCCAACGACTGTAAACTCGGGTGGAAAGTTTTAGTTGTTTGTCTGCTTCTGAACTTTACACTTGTTCCAAAAACTGAATTGTGCGTGCATGTCCGTTTAACAGATCTGGCTTATTTTTATGTTTGCTTCTCGCCTCTCATACAGATGCTTTGAAGAAGAAGAAGAGGAAATAGAAGCAGAAAAAAATGTGAAGAAGGAGAAGAATGAAGAAGAAGCAGTAGTAGTAGTAGTAGCAGCAGCAGCAGCAGTAGTAGTAGTAGTAGTAGTAGTAGTAGTAGTAGTAGTAGTAGTAGTAGTAGTAGTAGTAGTAGTAGTAGTAGTAGTAGTAGTAGTAGTAGTAGTAGTAGTAGTAGTAGTAGTAGTAGTAGTGGTGGTGGTAGTAGTAGTAGTAGTAGTAGTAGTAGTAGTAGTAGTAGTAGTAGTAGTAGTAGTAGTAGTAGTAGTGGTAGTGGTAGTAGTAGTAGTAGTAGTAGTAGTAGTAGTAGTAGTAGTAGTAGTAGGTGGTGGTGGTGGTTGTATCTTGGCTCTCTTAAAACCGTCTGGACAAGCTGGCAAGTCACTTTCATGGGGAGATAACTACCACCGACTACACAGCAGACTACTGGATGGAGACGGTCAGGACGGTGGGTTGTTATGCCTGTGCTAGGGTTTTAATTAAATTGTCCCCATGTATGTTTTTAACTACATATGACGTCTCTTTATTAGCTGAACATTTATGTCTAAATATGATTTCAGATTTCATCTAAATGAATAGTTTTCGGTAAAGAGTATATCTTCGTACATATGTTGGACCCAATGTTACTCAACTTTGTAGGTTAGCTACGCCCCTTTTCCTGTCCCGTTATCATTGCCATCAACTGTCGATGGGCGTTCGTTAAGTCGTAAGTTTATAGTGCGCATTTTAAGTATCAGTTCAACAAAGAGTATATTTGAATGATGCTGTGTTCACTATTACCTAATTGATTATGTAGGCGATTTTTGTTAATTTATCAAGCTATCTAGTGATTTCTTTTACACTGCTTTGCTCTCTTATCGTTCGCAATGTGACTGTCTGGACCTTGCAGTATCAGGTTGGAAGTCAGTCAGCCTGTTGACATCTTAGTTGTTTGTCAGTATCATTGACGAATTTCTCTATCATGGCTCCGGTTATTATTTCACCAGGAACTGACAAAATTATTCATTTATAATTGTCACTCTCTTGCAGGTCCCCAAGGTATATTTTCTCATGTCTTCTGGTACTTCTGTATTATTTGTAACCAGCATTGATTAGTTTGTGTCTTACAGGATTTATTACGAGTGTGTTACAGGATTTGTTATTTCTGTGGAGTGTGAGATATAATTTTCTTGTAGTCTGACATTGAACGAGCTTGACTAAATGAAATTCAGTGAGGCCTCAAGACCAGACAACTGCAAGAACTAAAGGACTGATGAATTAGACTGGAACTTTCTGCCAGATTTTATGTAAAGAAGAAAAAATGTATAAATTAAAATAAATTCTTCTGAATGAATCTTTGGCACTGGAAATTTGTGTTCAGACCTTCTAAATCTGTGATGATGTTTTGAAGATCATCATGATGAAGGAAGCCATTTTTGCTGCCCAGCCCAATAGGTCTCAATCCCCACCGAGGCAGATTTTTCACAGGGTTCCCATGTCAACCCATCTGAAAGTGGGTACTGGGAAATGTCCTGAGATGTAAAGGTGGTTAGGGTGAAACTGACCACATCACTCATCAAGTTCTCATTGATTTATAAAAATATTAACAGGACAATACATTCCTATAGGGTCTCAAATATATGGCTTATGTAGAGCAAATTTTAACATATTCCTGTGAATCCTGAACAGTTAATTTAAAAAAAAAATGTTAAGGCCTTGGAGGTGTAGTTTTAGAGAGAATCTTTAGCACTTCTTGGACAGCTAAAAATAGCAATCTAGATGTTTTGGATGAGCTGAGAGCTCAAAGACAAAAACATCAGAAAGAGACAGTTGTCATTTGTTGGGGTCATGTTATGAGGAGCGTTAAGCTGGAGCATGTTGTGACCTCTGGAAAGATCTGTAGAAAAGGAATAGTGGAAGACAACGCTCGACAGTTCTTAGCAGCTATTTGTCATTGAATGGAGTGATGTCAACAAATGAACAGATACATGTTGTTGAAGATTACAGATTGTGGAGAGGCACTATCACCTACGCCAGTCAACAAGGCACTTGATAATAATAATTGTTTTGTTTCCTGTAAAGTTTGTTGATAACAGTAGTATGCTTTTATTAATTTGTTGTATTCTCAGGTACTGACGCGATAACTTTGAAGTGTTGTTCTGTGCAAGTCTGTAACTGGCAACAATGTGGGGAGCTAGGAAAGGTTAGTGTCACTATTTGTTCAGGACTGCACTTATCTCCCCCTACTTGCTGCTTTGTGCCTGCGTGTGTGTTTGGCTGCATGTCATCATAATCTGTCTTAAAGACAAATGAACCAGCAGTCTGCATACAATAAGTCAGATCTGTAAAATGGATGTGCATGCAAAACTCAAGTTCTGGAACAAGACTAAAGTTAAACTAAATCTTTCTGCCAGAGTTTACAGTCAGTGAATTCAGAACCTCCCCCCTTGTGGGACAAATTTTTCGCTGTTTGGAAGCCCCACCCTGGTTGTCGCTGGGAGCCCTAATATAACCTAACGGTTGAACAGGGTTTCTGGGACCTCTCCATGAGTGATCCTCATCCGCATGGTGGCACTTTGTGTCACCAGGTGTTTATTGCTCAGTTTGATGTCCTGGTAGGGTAGAAAGTCAGTCAGCCAGTAAGTCAGTCAGTCAGCCAGTGATGTTAAGACTGAGTCATGAACATTTGTGCTTGACATTATCTTACTGACAGCTGGGCAGTGACATTAAGGAACCTCTTCCTGTTTTTATCTCCCAGCAGAGTAAAGCCTCTCAGCAAACTTACCCCAAGCACTTTGAGGACATGCTCTGTTTATCAGTGATTAGAGTTTCCTGCAACAGTTGGTCTGCAGAATATGATATAATGTCTTAGGGAAGCCATCCATAACTCTTTCACACTGTACAAATCTTTACCAATTTCTGTTAACAAAAAAATTAGCATACTCATAATTCTGTAAAACTTCAACCCCAAGAAACCAGAAGCAGAGAAAAAGCAGCAGAAGAAATGTGGAGTCTTGGTCAGTTTTTTTTATAAATGTCCAGCTGGCCAAACTCCTAGACTAATGTGAAATCTGGCAGGAATGAAGTTCTCTCCTTTGATAATACCACTAAAATGTGTATATATTTCCTGTCTCTGTGTCTACATAAAAAAAAGTTTCTTTTACTTGAAGGTAAGTAATAACTAAAACAATTGAAGCAAACATTTTCCAGGTTTAGCTCCCTTGATATTTGTAACTACTGACCAACCAGGACACACTCTCTAGGGAAAAGGTGACTAATTGGGGGTGTTTCTTTAAAGTTGGACTGCATCTACCTGAGAGACGAGGAACCAACAGTCTGCTTACAAGTAAATGAAATCTGTATAGTGGATGTGCACACATCAGGACCAATGTTGAGAAGTGGACGAACAACCAGAACTTTCTGCTAGAGTTTACAGCTGGTGAACATGAAGATGAAGAAGAAGAAGAAGCAAACACCTGCTTGATACTGAAACAGCAGTTCTGGTTTTAAATCTCATGTTCTATTCTGCACAATCATTTTCCTGAAGTGAACAACTCACTCTCTGCAGTTACCAATGACCCATCAAGGTTTGAGGGCGAGGGCATCAGTTTCCGGGCCAAGTTAATCGGCATCGAAGATGTCAAAGAGTCACGGGGAGACCAGATGTGCCAGGAAGCTATAACAAAGTTGAAAACTGCAATCCGGATTGCTGGTGCTCACAAACGCAAAATAATCATTAATATCAATCTTCAAGGAATTAAAATTACTGATGCAGTCTCTTTGGTATGTATTTTAATAGAGTATACAATGTTTCTGTAATATTTCTTTTTTGTGTGTACATGTTGACAGTAGCTCTTCATCCTCTGAGATACTGAGTTATTCCCTTGCCCACAGCTCTTATTTTCTTGTTTGAACTTTGCGCAGTCAAGTTATTAAATTCACTAAAATGTATCATTGTATGTATTCAGTTTTACTGAATTCATTCAAATTTATCAACTGATATACAGTCAGCTTTACTTAATTTACTAAAGTTTATCAGTATATCTACTGTAAATTTTACTGAATTCCCAGAAATTTGTCAATGTATGTACAGTCAGTTTTGCTGTACTGACTACAGTTTATAAACATATATGCCATAAGGTTTACTTATTACAATTTATCAACTTATATACAGTCAGTTTTACTTTATTTGCTAAACCTTATCAATGTATATACAGTCAGTTTTACTGAATTCACTAAAATTTAATAATTTATCAAACTCAGTTTTACTTAAATTAGTAAAATTTACTAGTTATTATAGCAGTCAGTTTTTATTCATTTCAGTAAAATCTACTGATGTATACCAATTGGTTTACTTAATTCACTAAAACTTACCAGTTTGTAACAGTCAGTTTTACTTAATTCAGTCAAATTTACCAATTTGTAACACTCAGTTTTACTTAATTTATTACAGTTGACCAATGTATGTTTGTCAATTTTACTGAATGGAAAGATTCTATCAGCACAGTGTTACTTATTTTCATCGTTACTTTGTTCTTTTGCTTCTTGTCGTCTTCCTGTTCATCTTTCTGTTTGTATACTCAGTTTAGTTCCTGGAGCCACCACAGTGTAACAGCTAGATGCTTGCCTCCAGATCAGAAGGGCATGTGTTCAGGTCTAAATCATTTCTAGAGTGTGACTCTCTCAACAATATGCAAATGACATTGGGTTACTATGTCATTTGGAAGGGTAACAGTGAGGCTCTAATCGTTTCTAGAATGCGGCTCTCTCACCAATATGTGAATTGAGGCAGACGGGGTTAATATGTCATTTGGAGGGGTCATGGTAAGGCTCTAATCGTCACAATGAGGCTGCAGTCGTTTCTATAGTGCAACCTTCTCACCACTGTCTGAACGTTATAAAAACAGTCTTTGTTATTCAAAATGTTTAAAATCTAATAAATTGTTAATGTTTAGATTTATGATTCAAGTTTTTACTTGGCCACGCTTGTATGCTGATGAGTTTGATCCTGTCACACCTTACCTGACCCCAAATGCTCCACCTATCATTCATGTATGCACACATTTAACTCTTTGAGTCCCAGGAAGTTAAGCATCCTGGGGAGGTAATACCATTTTTTAATTTTGCAAGTGTAACACATTAAAACAGGCCATACTAATTCAGCTGCCGTGCAACGTACATATACATCAAAGTGACATATTAGAATACTGCTAGAACAAATTATTGTGTTAGTGGTGAAATATCAGTAAATAAACAGACGGCATGTTTTGAGATTTTAGTAAAATGAAATAATAATTTTTCCATTTACCACCACGACGCTTAAGGACAACTTTACAAAATATACCCAAAATGAATCACAAATGATCATGAACAACTTATAAATGTGTAAGTAAAATATAAACTCAGTCTGTACATTAGATCTTGTTCCAGAGAATCTTTTCGAGCATCATAACAAAGCACCATTATTTAGTAAAAAAGAATTAACTTCCCAAAAAATGTAGTATCCTTACACAAAACAAAGTTTATATGCTACTCAATTTGCCTGTAATTTGTGTAGTTGTTTTCCTAAATAATAAGAGGAATATCACTATAACTAACAGATACTGAAGAAAATCACCTTTTTCACTGACGTTTATTCTCTTTGTACAGGCTCTCTTTATCTTCGTTGTACGCTTTGCACAAGGCACATATTAGAGCTATTCCTCATCAAATTTTGACTCTATAAATGACTGAAACAAGTCTACTTCGCAACTTTATCCATCTAACCTAGGATAAATCTGTTAAACACGTGTTTTGTTTAAATTTGAGGCTTCTAGTGCAGTAAATCATGCTGGAATGCCAGTAGAATACTGCTCAGTGACCTTTTTGTTTTCAAACACAGACTTAGTAACTCGGTAAACCTGCGACACACACACTATATTTTAGGCTTTTAACCACGTTTGCAATTAAAACTGATGGTTAACACGTGTGATTTCAAATACAAAGAACTGGAGAGGAAGTTTCAATTGTGCGGTTCATGTTTTTAAACTGGTCAGTGGTTATTTAAAGACCTGTACGCGTCACACCCAATTGGGTAGCTGGGTAGTTAACCAATCAAAGCATGATGCGTTCCTTGGGACTCGAAGAGTTAATATTGACATTTGCACACATATATTAATGCAAATTAAATCTATTTAATTATATGCTTATATTTTATTATTAACTAATGTCCTTCCTACAGTCTGCAACAGTAGTTGGTTTATCTTGTGTCGTTACAGTGTTGTTATATTACCTTGATGGAGGGGGTTTGATTCTAATAGCAACTATATGTACTGTCATATTGGTAGCAATGCTACAAGCTGGTAGGTTCCTACATGCCAGTTGGGTTATGACTTGACATGTAAAAGTAAATGTGAGAGGATCAACTTCATTGCACCACGTCATCCCACATGGCTCAGTCTCTCTTCACAGAACATCTAGCTGCCTGCCGAGAGCATCGCACAGAGCATGACTTCCATAGTTCCGGCAACAATCCCCAGAGATCTCCATAAAATTTGCTCTTGTGAAGGGCACTGCTGTGAAGCGAACCCACGACATTCAGAGCGCAAGAAAATGGCTTATCACTTCGCCATGGAGACCCCCCGACTTTACATGTATGCTGGGTTATGACTTAACTACAGTGAAAAGCCAGCTGCATTCTTTTTTGAAGTTACTTCTATAAGTGTATTTAAATGTTTGTACCTGAGTTGTGAGTGGATGCAGACACCTGTTGGGGTGATCTAGTTTCACAATCCTAGTATCATCACTTCATCTAGTCACATAATCTAGGCATAGAATAGTCTACACACCTCATCACATCATCTGCACATTTCAGCTCTCTCTCTCTCTCTCTCTCTCTCTCTCTCTCTCTCTCTCTCTCTCTCTCTCTCTCTCTCTCTCTCTCTCTCTCTCTCTCTCTCTCTCTCTCTCTCTCTCTCTCTCTCTCTTTGCCTCCCATCTCTGTCCCCCTTCCCTCTGTCTCTGCTATTTCTGCTATATCTCTCTTTCTCTCTCAACCTCTCTCTCACTTTTTTTGGGAGTTTGCAAGCACAATTTTTAGCCCTTTGAAAAAAGTTTATTCATTTGTTCTGTGTCTGCCTTTCTTTGTTCTGTCTCTCTCTGTCTCTATTTCTTTCTCTTCCCTATGTATATGTATGTGTGTGTGTATATATATATGTATATAGTAAACCTTTTCCACGCCTTCGGCCATATTGTGCATATAGGGCTGAGCCTACATTTTGTAAGCCTGTCAGCCCCCAGTGGGCGATGAAGACAGCATCAAATCGGCCACCTTTACTTCCCAGGAATTTACATGGTACCTATTTAAGGCTTGGTCGACATGAGAACCAAGATCATTTTTGAAAAATTCAGGCTCTGTCAGGACCCGAACCCATGCACTTCTGATCCACAGGTGAACCTCTAGCCACTACACCACAGTAGGTCCCATATATAAATCACAAACAATTTTGCAGGCACTTACTGATGATACTTTTTAATTGTGTTAAATACAAGTGCAGTGTTTACATGAAAGCTTCGAAGTCGGAGTGGATCTGCCTGAGAGGCAAAGAACCAGCAGTCTGCACACAAATGAGTCAGATCTGTAAAACGGATGCACACGCAACAGCCAGGTTTTGGAACAGGACTGCAGTCCAGAAGTGGATGAACAACCAGAACTTTCCACCAGAGTTTACAGCTGGTGACCGTGAAGAAGAAGAAGAAGAAGAAATGAAAGTGATGGCTGGAGACCTGCCTGTATTGTGTATGTTGCATGGAACATGACTTGCCAGCTAACCCTACAATTGTTACCCTGTATTGCTTGCATACCTTTCCCCTACCTACAGGTTTTTCAGCTCTGTAGACAGGCCAGGAGCTTGTGGGCATTGTAAGTCATCAGTCATTCAGAAGATTTGGTATGAGGTTTATATTTGTTTTAAAATACAGTATGCATTTTATTCATATATATATGTATATACACACACGCACAAACGCACACACCAAACGATCAAATATTTGGGTGTGTGGGGGATCTTCTCTATGATGTTTCTAATGTGCGGTCACTCCATCTGTCACTTGGCCTTCCCTAGCTTGATTACCCTATGCTCATTTTGGGCAGCTACTGTGGTGTAACAGCTAGATGTTTGCCTGTTGATCTGAAGGTGATGAGTTCAAATCCCACAGGAGGCAGACTTTTTCTACCATCACCTTGGCTCCTAAGTCGACCCAGCCTGAAATGGGTACTAGGTAAAGTTCTGGGCCATAAAGGTGGCCTGTTTGATGTTGGCCACATCACTGAGAGAGTGCTGATTGATCGTGAAGATATAGGTCTAGCGCTATGTGCCCAATATGCCTGAAGTAGTGGAAAAGGGTCCTTTACTTTTTCTTTTGTATGTTACATTTGCACTCTTGTTTCTTGATGTCAGAGACTAGATGTTTCTTGATGTTAGAGACTAGATGTTTCTTGATGTCAGAGACAAGATGTTTCTTAATGTCAGATACCAGATGTTTCTTGATGTCAGAGACTAGATGTTTCTTGATGTCAAAGACTAGATGTTTCTTGATGTCAGAGACTAGATGTTTCTTGATGGCAGAGACTAGATGTTTCTTGATGGCAGAGACTAGATGTTTCTTGATGGCAGAGACTAGATGTTTCTTGATATCAGAGACTAGATGTTTCTTGATGTCAGAGAGTAGATGTTTTTTGATGGCAGAGACTAGATGTTTCTTGATGTCAGAGACTAGATGTTTCTTGATGGCAGAGACTGTTT